TGTACTGCCATCACTCACATTTAGGAACAAGATAAAAAGCACCTTTTATTAAACAAAATGTATCGTACACACCGCCCCTCTCCTCTAACGTAAGACACTGTTCATCACAGTTTTTTGGGGTGGGTGGGTGGGGGCATTTTGCTCCAGTAATTTCAAAGTGTGTCATAACAAATAGTGCAGGTGTCTGGCCTAAATGCATGTGACCAACGCCCTTGTCATTTCTGTCAAAGGAGCATCTCTTGTATTTCTAACAGGACTTGTGTGTCTGTTTAAGGGCAGGGAGTTCTGCGACATGGACCCAGGACAATTACTGTCAGAGCACACGGGGTGATGAATCTGCTACCTTATTGTGTTTGTCAGTTCGACCTCTAGCAGGGACCTGATTGGTCTGACTGCGTCTGCACTTCAGATGCATTGTTTCGGCACTTGATGGGTGAACGTGAATGTGTGCAACCTAAATGACCCTCACTTCAAGAGAGGAACTCCTGTGCTTTTGAATAAAATAAAATGAAATAAAAAGAGAAAGGTACTGAGGAAAGTTGTTACTGCAAACCAGACCACACCCATCAGCGGTTTGGGACTTCCTTTTATCAATAATCTAATCTGAGAAAATGTTCGAGTTATGATGTAATAACTGAAGAAAATCCACCATCCAAAGGAATGTTTGAGCTGAGCCTGCCTGACAGCACCATACAGCCAGACGGACACAAAAAGGTAAACCTCAAACAAATAATTACAGCTTGAAAACTCATACTGAAAGATAAAACCTCCTGAAGAGTGGCAGAAGCATCCGGTCACAACACATGTTCATTTTATGGGTCTGCAGTTACTTAGGAGAAATTACAGGTAATTACAGGTTACCCGTATCCTTCAGTTTTAAGGAGAAACCGTTGAGCAGCAACAATTGGAGTCAGTGATGGTTTAAATGTGCTCACTCAGCACTAGTGTTTTAGTCAAGACCACCTAACCCGAGACTGAGTCAAGACCAAGACCACAGTGTATCGAGACCGAGACAAGACCGAGACATTTAGGGCCTGGACCAAGTCGAGACCAAGACCGAGGAACGGGCAAGAGTCGTCTCGTTCGGCTCGGTACTTCTCTACTCTCAGTAGGGTTGTTTACAGCGCATGCGATTTCCGGTTAGCTTCTTAGCTTAGCCTCCTTCACAGCAACATACGTCGTGACCAACTGATCCAATCATTTTAAACTTCAGCAGAGGCCACGCCTCCAGCAAGAGTCACTTCTCTATAGCCGCGAGTCCAGACCCTCGTACGAAGCAAAGTGAAAGACAAGGGTCTGGTTTTTACCAGGCTAGGTCTTGACTGGTCTTGAAATAAAATCCCGAGTCCTCAATGTCCGAGACCGAGGCAAGACTGAGTACAATTGTGGTCAAGTCCGAGATGAGACCAAGACCATCAAAAAGTGGTTTTGAGACCGGTCTTAGTTCAAGTATTTTGGGGTTTTGTTCATGAGTGAAGGAAGAATGGAGCGTGAGATTGATAGACAGATCGGTGCAGCCTCTGCACACTTACAGACTCTGTTGTGGTGAAGAAGGAGCTGAGCTGTAAGGCAGAGCGTCTCGGTCAGTCTACGTTTCTAACCTCACCTATGGCCACGAGCTTTGGGTAGTGACCGAAAGAACAAGATCACAGATAAGGTCAAAATGAGTTTTCTCTACAGGGTAGCTCTCCTTTAGGGTAAGAAGTTCAGTTATCCGAGAGGGACTCAGAGTCGCTGCTCCTCCACGTCGAGAGGAGCCAGTTGAGGTGGTTCATCTGGTTTGGATGCGTCCTGGACACCTCCCTAGGGAGATGCTTCGGGCATGTCCAACTGGAAGGAGACCCTAAGGAAGACCCAGGATCCATTATAGAGACACTAGCTGTGTTTCCATCCATTTTGAATTTGAATTTTGAGCGAATTGTTACAATTTCGCAAAAAGGAAAAAAAGAAGAAATGCAAATCAGACGTGTTTCCATCAACTGACTTGAATCGACTCAACCAGGCTGCGTGCATGTCTGTAGTAAACAGGAAGTAGGAGTCACAAACACTCAGGGACACATCTCAAGTCAATGCAGAGAAGTTATTAGGAACATGTTGTTGCTATCAGGAAAGTTGTAATTATTCTGTCATATCAACTAGTTCTGGTGACGTTACATTCTGTCTGGAGACGTAGAGAAAAAATGCAATCTTCTTCACGATACGGGAATAACTGAGAATACGCTGACAGTGGGAGAAGGGTCCAGCTGCAGTCGCGGCTGTAGTCGCTCTGGTATCGGTGCCACCTGGTACCGGACAGACAGTGGGAACAGCTGATCAACCATGTGAGGTAAATGTTCGCTACGTCATAACTTATTCAACAAATGTTTCTATTTCTCCTTTTGTGCATTAACTCTTTTTTGAAAAACCCCAAAACCACCTCAAGTGAGCTTCTAAACGTTTTTGCGAATTAGAGGTTAGAAGTTTTTTCGGATCGTGCCATGTCCATTCATCTTTTCTAATACAATACTTCAAAATGTGCATTAAAAACGATGGTAACACAGTTTATGTCTCTCAGCTAGCCTGGGAACACCTTGGAGTCCTCCCAGAAGAGTTGGAAGAGGTGGCTGTGGACAGAGAGGTTTGGACCTCCCTACTCAAGCTGCTGCCCCCGCGACCCGACTTCGGATAAAGTGGAAGATAACGGATATATAAAGTTTGTTGTAACTAGGAGAATTTGTTTGTAAAGATTCTGAAAAGTTAAACATTTCTGGTGATCTTCAAGAATCTTAAAAAGTAATTTTGAAACATTCTGTTTTTACAAAACTTATTATAAATCCTAAATGTCAGCTCATACCTGTAAAATCCAGTTTTCTGTGACCTGTTGGCTGTGAAATACAAAGCTCCAAGGAGGGCTCTTGTTTAGACTTTAAAATTCCATTGTTTTGTTTTATTTGTTATACGGTGCACTGCCACCAAAGTTAAAGTCCATTTCTCTCAATACATACAGAGTTTTGAATGAAGGGGATTTTCCAGAACTTCAGGAGGAGAAAATCAGAGATCATGACAGAAACAGAACAACAGTAAAAACAAGTTGGTTCAGTTCTCATGCATTAGCACTCTTATTAGCAATACATGGATCATATCCTAGTGTTTATCATTGGAAAAGGAAAAGTTAATGTGATGAAAATATCAATACATATAAAAACTTTAATAGAAAGTACAGCTATGTCTTAGAGAAATGTGTAAAAGATTTGTCACAAATTAGTTTGGAAAGTATAAGAAGGCCGGTATTTAATCTTCAAAGACAAAAAGCAGCAGCCGTCTCTTCACCTGCTTTTGTAGCTTGAGATATTTACAGGCTCTCATTTGTATCTTGACATGGCATATTTTGCTTTTATAGTTTGTGCTGAGCCCGGCGCTCGCTATAAATGGCAGGTGTGCAAAATTGAAGTGCAAAAGTAATTCAGCTCCTGCCATTCAAAGGAGCCGTGTCAGTTTGATTTACCTTTGCATATAAACACACTTACACACACACACACACACACACACGCCTCTGGGCCACATGTGTTTTTTATATTCATACGCTGATGGCCTGAAGAAGAAGAAGAAGAAAAAAAAACGCCCCTTCCAAAATGGAGGTTGAGGGGTCATGGTGTTTGGCCAGGAGTGACAGCTCTGAAATGAAGGTGTAAGTCAATCGGCTACTCTTCACACACACACACATACACACGTACACACGTGGTGTGAGGCGGGGGTTGGGATGGCGGTGGGTGGCTGGGATAAGATGTGGGGGGGTAGGCTTGGGGAGGGGCTCTGCGTAAAGGGCACAAGGTTACCATGTGGGGGATTATGGCTTTTGTGTGTCCTTCCATGTGTGAGTGGTCGAAGAAGTGCATCTGAACGTCATATTTAAGCTCAACGTTACAAACTTTTATATGTTTTTTAGTTTGTTTCAGAAAAGTTACCAGTTTGAGCTGCCAGCAGCTGAAAACTGCACACGTATGCTGACAACGCCTGACAGCCAAAGGTCAAAACCTGTGTGTGTTTGTTCTGAGTCTCCTCCCACAAACACTGCGGCTCATTGTGTTTATTTTTATTTAGGACAAAAAATATTAGGCTGCATCTTAAAGCGAGCTAAGTAAACCATGTTTTGAAATGTTTTTATTTAATTCTTCTAAGTTGTGGCATAAATTTATGGCTTGACTGAAATGCAATCAAGTGAAACCATGTTAAAAGTTTAAATAATGGCTTTTCAACCTTTTTTTTTTTGTCAGAAGAGTCCAAATAAAGCAGATCAGATGTTTGGGCTTCCAGAGGGCTCCATTTTGAGTCCAATCTTGTTCCTATTATGCGTACTCTTCTTTGGACAGATTATTAATGAACTCCATAATATCTCCTACCACTTTTATGCTGATGACATCCAGATGTGCTGCTCCTTCCAGGACTCGGAGCTCTTTGAACCGTCAGTGCCGGTAAGAGATCCCCAAAATCTACATTTAATTAAACCAACAAGATAAAACCTTCATTGTTGCTCTGAACAGCGTTTTACTTAAATAAGAGAACTAATTGGTCAGTTAAAGGGATAGTTCGGTCAAACAGTTATTGGTCACGTTATCAGCTGTGACGTCAGTCGTAGAGCACTGGGTTCTGAGAAAGACAAAAGTCTTCACTGAAGCTGGGGAAACTGCTAAGCAAACAGGTTTTTATTGCTTTTTAGGTAAATAGAACAATCTCCAAAAATGCACTTGTGCACAAGAATGTAACTTTAGCTAATAATAAACCTTAACGTTTGCATGACATTGTTGATTTAGTTTGACGATTTCACAACCTGATTGTGTTTCTACAAAATAAATGTCTGAATGATTTTATGCTTATTAAATCTAGTTTGTAGCTCCACCAACTTCTTTTTTCATTGCAAAGTCTGAGTGAAATCAGTTACAAATGTAATTCATCCTTAAACTGGTTCTTCTTACAGAATAAAAGATCTCCACTAATCTGACAATAAAAGACAAACACAAAACTTAGTGTGAACAAAATTTTATTTCAATTAATGGATAATCTGAATTTTCAAACAAAAGAAAAATGGGCGTAAAAACAAACTCATAGAATCGTTCTGTGAATTTATTTACCAACAGACGCTTTCTCAGGTCCCAGAAGGCTAAACTCATACCAGACACTGATATGACGACGTCATGTTGGAAATGTGACACAAACAATAAAAAAAATAAAAAGAGTGGGGAGAAAAACAAGTCCTACACTAAAACACAGTCCTAAGTCCAATGGGAATAATGTTGCAACATAGACTGAGGTTTTCAGAGGTTAGTGATACATTACTCTATGGTATCCATACGATAAGCTCAAATGACACGAGTTTAGGGGATTTCCCTACACAACAATTTCACCAGGAGGTGGAAAAGAACTTGCACAATGTCTAAAAGTGCAGCCGACGTCGAAGCGGACATTTCCAATCTCAGCGATTCTTTACATTTTCTACTGATTGCATAAAAAACTCCTCTGCGTGTTTTTAATCCAGTGCACGTTGCAGTTCAGCATCATGTGAGCCTCTTTCCATTCCTGACGGGACATAATACCTGTTATAACAGGTAACGAGAGATTATGGCACAGTCATAAGATAAATGCTCAGTGACAAATCGTTGTTCTAAGGCAAATACAGCTAATTTTTGCAAAAATAAAAAACGCCCTTCTACCTCCCGCACAAGCATCTCGCCTAATGTCTAAAAAGGTCCAATATTGACAATCATTACAAAAACAAAACAAAGACAGTGAGCTGTGAGACTGCCTCTTGTGATAGCATCATGAGGGAAGTCTTGAATTAGTAATACTTTTCTTTAAATTATTATTAAACGGGGTAAGGGTAGAATCCTACCAGTGCTGTGATTTTACAGTGAATAACTGTTGGGTTTGACTAGTTAATGCAAGTGCCTAAGCTTTAATTTGTATTTTATTTATATATATAAACTCTCCTGAGACTCCAAAACAAGTCAAATTATAGACAAAACCAAAACCTCATTGTAGGTCATCAACACTGCCACAAGTAGAATCCAAACAAAATGCATTTGTCAGCTTTGGCACTGGTTTCTGATAAGTGGAGAATTTGCTGAGTGTGTCTTTTTGTGCTGATCCTGACATGTCCGCCTACCCATCCTTCTGAACCTGAGCTTTGTTTGGAGAGAACCCAAAAATGACTTAAGATGCCTGTGAATCAATGATATCCTGTACATTTGGACACAATCATAAGTTTCCTCTCCGTATAAACAATGCTAAAACAAACACGCAGTAAAACATGTCCTCTGTAAAAGACATTTTGGCATTTGTCTTTTTTTTTAATGGCTTCTGGTTTTCAAAAAAAGAGTTAGTAAATATACACTTCCTGCTCTTGGCTGCAGAGTCCTCAGTTTGTTTTTGCCATACCCTGTAAAGGTAGCACCAAAACGTTTTGTGTTTGCAGTTTTGAGACGGACATGTGAAGTGAGTCCATCAGACCTGCTGGTGAACTGTGCGCTAACCTCCCCTACCAACCTGTCCAGCTCGTGCCACGTCTCAAACCTACACCAGGGTCTTCATGGTGCTACCGAGGGTCTGTGTGGGTAATGAACGACTGGGATGGGTTTGACTTGAAGAGTGGAATGGTGAGGGCGGGGCTTCCTCTGGGAAAGCCAAAGCAAGGTGAGGCTGAAGGTAATGAGAGGAAAGAAGGACGTCCGGCTTCACCTCATGGTCCGTTCTCGTTGTAATGGAGGGAGAGGGGCCGCTCGCGCTGCACGGTGGGCATGTACGGCCAGTTGTAGCTGGAGCCCGACAGCAGCATGTCGCGCAGTAATGTCTCGATGGGCGTCTTGCCCACCAGGCGAACGAAAAACAGCTGCTCGATGACCGGAGAGGAGACGATACGCAGAGAGGGGAGACGCAGGAGGAGGCGTCCGAACCGGTTGGGCTGGCTGGGGTACTGGTTCCTGACGTACTCCTCCAGAGCACACTGGGACTTCTCCTGAATGCTCTCCACATGGGCGACATCCGACAACCCCATAGCATCTAAAGGCAGGAGGGGGGAAATAAAATGTTTTAATTAGAAAAAGATCAAAAAGGATCGAGCGGTAAAACGAGGTTCAGGCCAGAAAAAGACTGAAAGAAAACTCAGCATCAATATTTGTTTATCAACTGCTGACATAAAGCTTTAACACCAGTACAGCCTGCTGTTGTTTCAGTCCACACACACACTGCCTGGCCACAAACCAAGTGACCACCCAGGCAAAAAAAATAATAAAATAAAATGAAAAAATACTAAAGTATATTTTAAAGAGACTGCATTTTACAGAAATATATTTTTAATACACTATCAATAGAATATACTTTTTAGGATTATATTCAAAGTGTAAAAAAAGTATATTTCAAAACCATATTTCAGATATGTTTTAAAATATATTTCAAGTACACTTTATAAAATATATTTATTAAATACACTTTAATATAAATATATATTTAAACTATACTTTATATATCCTTTTTAAATACACTTTGTGTATTTGTAAAAGTGTATATTATAAATGCACATTTCAAAAACATATTGCAAATATAAATCCAGTACTTTTCTGAAGTTGTACTATTTTCAAACAGATTTCATGTTTGTTGTTTTAACCTTATTTTTTAAAATCATTTTCAAAATAATATTTCAAGGTTTCAATACTTTGTTTATTAATGAGTAATTATATTTGAATGAAACATTTTCAGTAGAAAGAAAGACTCTTATCTCTGCTCAGAGGTTGTGAATATAGCTTATTAATTGTTTTGCTTGTATACCCAGGTGAAAAATATACTAAGTATACTAAATCTAAGTATACTTTAGTATACTTGAAGCCGCACTAATAGTAAGTAAGTGAGTAAAATTTTATTTATCGAGCGCCTTTCACAGAAGTGGTATTCACAAAGTGCTTTACAATAATCATTAATATAGAAAGGGTTCATTGGCAGCAGGTGCTGTACAATAATCAAACACAAATAGAAAAACAAATACTTGACAATTACATTACAAATGGTGAAATTCAGTATAGAACAATGTGTACAATGTTAATGTGTGTTAAGAAAATGAAAAAAGAAGGTTTGTTGAAGAAATATGAAGAAGAATAATGTGGATTAATATGGTTTGTTGTTCAGATTTGATGTTTTTGTTTCTTGAAGATCATTTCATTGCATTTATTTTTGGGAAAAAAGGGCAGATCTAGATTTTCTTCTTTCTGCTGCCTTTCATTTGAGATTTGCATGTTTTTAAATTGTATACAGAATTTTTGTTTTTAAATGAATAAAGTCTCAATGAATCCATCAGAATTACAAATGGTGCAGAGTTCCTGGTCACCTGCCCCCCTTCACCTGGGTAACTTGTTTCCATCCTCAGCATCTTTGCTCTGAGGGATCGATCAGGTTTGACGAGGAGCTTTGGAGATTTGTGTTTGATATTTCACAGATAAATGGTCTTTTTCATTTCTTCACTTATCTCCTGTTTGTTCAGGCAGTAGAAGCAGAGTTCAGACCAGGACATAGTTCCCAGATGGAAATCAGCCAGAGGCCCAATCTGGTACAAATGTCTTTACCTTTATGTTTTAAGCTTTTCAGTCAAAATGTTTACATTTTTCTACTGTTTTTATTTGTTGCTGAACAATTTTGATGACTGAATAAACAATAATCAATCAATCAATTTCACACTGTCCTGTTAACCTCTTGAGCCCCATGCAAACCAGCATTTCCTGTTTTCTATATCTTTAAACTTCTGTTAACTTAGATCTGTAAGTTGAACCTTGACACGTTTGGTATCAATAGAAAGCTAAGAATCGTGGCTGAAAGTCTTGGAAACTATATTTATATTCACCAAACACAGTTCAAACGACAGGCAGTTGAATCAGAAAGTAGACAAACTGTACAAAATGGGATTCTTGCAAATTTGTAAATAAATTACAACAAATCTGTAAAAGGAAAACATTTTTGACGTTATCTTTTTAAAGCAAGTCAAAGTACACTGCAAAAACTGTCCACCTAACCAAGTTTTAAAACCTTATATCAGCCAAAAAGTATTTTTGATCTTGTTTTGAGACTGATTTACTAAACAAGAACTGATTGTGTAAGAATAATCATCTTGTTTTCAGAATGATTTACTAAACAAGAACTGATT